GGTCTTGAACTCCGAGGGTGGGGCGTTGGACTCTGATGGGGCCGGGCGCCCCTGATTTTAAAATCAGAACCCTTACGGATCATTGAACTCCGAGGGTGGGGCTTTGGACTGATGGGGCACCCCTGATTCTTAAATCAAAGCTTTGACAGATGTTGAAGAGGAGGAGGCCCTGGACTGATGGAGCGCCCATGAATTTTCGATCTCCGCCTCTTAGTGAGCTTGAACTCCGGGGGTGGGGCCTCGGACGCCCTTGGTTGTTTTAATCAGAACTCTTTCAAATCTTGAACTCCGAGGGTGGGGCCTTGGACTCTGATGGAGCGGGGCGCTCCTGATTTTTAAATCAGAACCCTTACAGATCCTTGAACTCCGAGGGTGGAGCTTTGGACTGATGGGGCACCCCTGATTCTGAAATCAAAGCTTTGACAGATGTTGAACTCCGAGGATGAGGACTTGGACTGATGGAGCGCCCATGATTTTCAGATCACCGCCTCTTAGTGAGCTTGAACTCCGGGGGTGGGGCCTTGGACGCCCCTGGTTTTTTTAATCAGAGCTCTTACAAATCTTGAACTCCGAGGGTCGGGCCTTGGGTTGATGGGGCACCCCTGATTTCTAAATCACAACCCTTACAGATCTTGAACTCCGAGGGTGGGGCCTCGGACTCTGATGGAGCGGGGCGCCCCTGATTTTTAAATCAGAACCCTTACAGATCCTTGAACTCCGAGGGTGGGGCCTTGGACTCTGATGGAGCGGGGCGCCCCTGATTTTTAAGTCAGAACCCTTACAGATCTTGAACTCCGAGGGTGGGGCCTTGGACTCTGATGGAGCGGGGCGCCCCTGATTTTTAAATCAGAACCCTTACAGATCCTTGAACTCCGAGGGTGGGGCTTTGGACTGATGGGGCACCCCTGATTCTGAAATCAAAGCTTTGACAGATGTTGAAGAGGAGGAGGAGGCCCTGGACTGATGGAGCGCCCATGATTTTCAGATCACCGCCTCTTAGTGAGCTTGAACTCCGGGGGTGGGGCCTTGGACGCCCCTGGTTTTTTTAATCAGAACTCTTACAAATCTTGAACTCCGAGGGTCGGGCCTTGGGTTGATGGGGCACCCCTGATTTCTAAATCACAACCCTTACAGATCTTGAACTCCGAGGGTGGGGCCTTGGACTCTGACGGAGCGGGGCGCCCCTGATTTTTAAATCAGAACCCTTACAGATCCTTGAACTCCGAGGGTGGGGCTTTGGACTGATGGGGCACCCCTGATTCTTAAATCAAAGCTTTGACAGATGTTGAACTCCGAGGAGGAGGCCCTGGACTGATGGAGGAGCGCCCATGATGTTCAGATCACCGCCTCTTCGTGAGCTTGAACTCCGGGGGTGGGGCCTCGGACGCCCCTGGTTGTTTTAATCAGAACTCTTTCAAATCTTGAACTCCGAGGGTGGGGCCTTGGACTCTGATGGAGCGGGGCGCCCCTGATTTCTAAATCAGAACCCTTACAGATCCTTGAACTCCGAGGGTGGGGCCTTGGACTCTGATGGAGCGGGGCGCCCCTGATTTCTAAATCACAACCCTTACAGATCTTGAACTCCGAGGGTGGGGCCTTGGACTCTGATGGAGCGGGGCGCCCCTGATTTCTAAATCAGAACCCTTACAGATCTTGAACTCCGAGGGTGGAGCTTTGGACTGATGGGGCACCCCTGATTCTGAAATCAAAGCTTTGACAGATGTTGAACTCCGAGGATGAGGCCTTGGACTGATGGAGCGCCCATGATTTTCAGATCACCGCCTCTTAGTGAGCTTGAACTCCGGGGGTGGGGCTTTGGACGCCCCTGGTTTTTTTAATCAGAACTCTTACAAATCTTGAACTCCGAGGGTCGGGCCTTGGGTTGATGGGGCACCCCTGATTTCTAAATCCCAACCCTTACAGATCTTGAACTCCGAGGGTGGGGCCTTGGACTCTGATGGAGCGGGGCGCCCCTGATTTTTAAATCAGAACCCTTACAGATCCTTGAACTCCGAGGGTGGGGCTTTGGACTGATGGGGCACCCCTGATTCTTAAATCAAAGCTTTGACAGATGTTGAACTCCGAGGAGGAGGCCCTGGACTGATGGAGGAGTGCCCATGATTTTCAGATCACCGCCTCTTAGTGAGCTTGTCCTCCGGGGGTGGGGCCTTGGACGCCACTGGTTTTTCTTCAGAACTCTTACAAATCTTGAACTCCGAGGGTCGGGCCTTGGGTTGATGGGGCACCCCTGATTTCTAAATCACAACCCTTACAGATCTTGAACTCCGAGGGTGGGGCCTTGGACTCTGATGGGGCGGCGCGCCCCTGATTTCTAAATCCCAACCATTACAGATCTTGAACTCCGAGGGTGGGGCCTTGGACTCTGATGGAGCGGGGCGCCCCTGATTTTTAAATCAGAACCCTTACAGATCCTTGAACTCCGAGGGTGGGGCTTTGGACTGATGGGGCACCCCTGATTCTTAAATCAAAGCTTTGACAGATGTTGAACTCCGAGGATGAGGACTTGGACTGATGGAGCGCCCATGATTTTCAGATCACCGCCTCTTAGTGAGCTTGAACTCCGGGGGTGGGGCCTTGGACGCCCCTGGTTTTTTTAATCAGAACTCTTACAAATCTTGAACTCCGAGGGTCGGGCCTTGGGTTGATGGGGCACCCCTGATTTCTAAATCACAACCCTTACAGATCTTGAACTCCGAGGGTGGGGCCTTGGACTCTGATGGGCGGGGCGCCCCTGATTTCTAAATCCCAACCCTTACAGATCTTGAACTCCGAGGGTGGGGCCTTGGACTCTGATGGAGCGGGGCGCCCCTGATTTTTAAGTCAGAACCCTTACAGATCCTTGAACTCCGAGGGTGGAGCTTTGGACTGATGGGGCACCCCTGATTCTTAAATCAAAGCTTTGACAGATGTTGAACTCCGAGGATGAGGACTTGGACTGATGGAGCGCCCATGATTTTCAGATCACCGCCTCTTAGTGAGCTTGAACTCCGGGGGGGGGCCTTGGACGCCCCTGGTTTTTAATCAGAACTCTTACAAATCTTGAACTCCGAGGGTCGGGCCTTGGGTTGATGGGGCACCCCTGATTTCTAAATCACAACCCTTACAGATCTTGAACTCCGAGGGTGGGGCCTTGGACTCTGATGGAGCGGGGCGCCCCTGATTTTTAAATCAGAACCCTTACAGATCCTTGAACTCCGAGGGTGGGGCTTTGGACTGATGGGGCACCCCTGATTCTTAAATCAAAGCTTTGACAGATGTTGAACTCCGAGGAGGAGGCCCTGGACTGATGGAGCGCCCATGATTTTCAGATCACCGCCTCTTAGTGAGCTTGTCCTCCGGGGGTGGGGCCTTGGACGCCACTGGTTTTTCTTCAGAACTCTTACAAATCTTGAACTCCGAGGGTCGGGCCTTGGGTTGATGGGGCACCCCTGATTTCTAAATCACAACCCTTACAGATCTTGAACTCCGAGGGTGGGGCCTTGGACTCTGATTGGGCGGGGCGCCCCTGATTTCTAAATCCCAACCCTTACAGATCTTGAACTCCGAGGGTGGGGCCTTGGACTCTGATGGAGCGGGGCGCCCCTGATTTTTAAATCAGAACCCTTACAGATCCTTGAACTCCGAGGGTGGGGCTTTGGACTGATGGGGCACCCCTGATTCTTAAATCAAAGCTTTGACAGATGTTGAACTCCGAGGAGGAGGCCCTGGACTGATGGAGCGCCCATGATTTTCAGATCACCGCCTCTTAGTGAGCTTGAACTCCGGGGGTGGGGCCTCGGACGCCCCTGGTTGTTTTAATCAGAACTCTTTCAAATCTTGAACTCCGAGGGTGGGGCCTTGGACTCTGATGGAGCGGGGCGCCCCTGATTTCTAAATCACAACCCTTACAGATCTTGAACTCCGAGGGTGGGGCCTCGGACTCTGATGGAGCGGGGCGCCCCTGATTTTTAAATCAGAACCCTTACAGATCTTGAACTCCGAGGGTGGAGCTTTGGACTGATGGGGCACCCCTGATTCTTAAATCAAAGCTTTGACAGATGTTGAACTCCGAGGATGAGGACTTGGACTGATGGAGCGCCCATCTTAGTGAGCTTGAACTCCGGGGGTGGGGCCTTGGACGCCCCGGGTTTTTCTTCAGAACTCTTACAAATCTTGAACTCCGAGGGTCGGGCCTTGGGTTGCTGGGACACCCCTGATTTCTAAACCGCAACCCTTACAGATCTTGAACTCCGAGGGTGGGGCCTTGGGTTGAGGGGGCGCAGGTTCACCGGGTTTACCGGGTTTATCGGGTTTATCGGGTTTACCGGGTTTAGCGGGTTTATCGGGTTTATCGGGCTTATCGGGTTTATCGGGTTTATCGGGTTTATCGGGTTTATCGGGTTTATCGGGTTTATCGGGTTTACCGGGTTTACCGGGTTTATCGGGTTTATCGGTTTTATCGGGTTTATCGGGTTTATCGGGTTTAACGGGTTTATCGGGTTTAGCGGTGCGCGTCCGCTGTTTGCGCGCGCAATGGAAATCTACACGGACCGGGCCTCCGCCGACCTGCAGCCATGCAGAGAGCGCCAGGACGAGCAATGCGACCATGAGTGGGGGGTGTCCTAGTATCAAAGTCTAGAAGACGGAGAAGGGACTGGCTTGGCTTGGTTTGTGTGGGTCTGGCCCTTCACCGCCTGAAGGATGCACTGCGGTGTACTAGTGACAGCTTAAACGGACGGCAACATATGGGAAGCAAGAGGAAAGTCTTGAGGAACGTCTGCTGGCTGAGTAAGCTCTTATGCAGTATGGAGAGCAGCCCATGTCGCTATGAGCCCCGCCGTGTCAAAGGGTGTTTGACAGTTTGTTCACGTGTCGTCGGATTTGCTGGAGCACCAGGCAACATCTATCAGAAACATGCCTGTGGCGAGTGCTGGTGCGTCAGGGCAACGCGGCGCAGTGTTGGCGAAGCCCAGGGGCAGACAGAACGCTGGCAGCCATGCCTCTCTGATGACCTTCCATGGGGTTCCAAGGACCTCAATACTGGCTTAGATCACACTATCGGAGTTCCAGAAGCAAGAAGAGTGGAGAAGCTGGTGCGACATCTGTGTCACAATTATGCGGCTTGGGGGCATGATGCGCTGGGAAATGGTCGTGCTAGTTCAGGGAAGCCAGATCAATGCAGGATTGCATGCGATCAGCCCAGGAGGTTTCCATGCACGGTAAAATCTCCTTTCGGCTTTGATGCCGGACTGGTTTCGAGATGCTTCGAGAACTATTGCTGTCCTCACTCTCATCTGCTCCACCTGCAGCATCTTTCGGGAGCTGCCTGTGACAAATGCTGCACAGTGGTCTTGGCGCATGCCGGCAGGCTCCCAGAAAGCGGCGCCTTCCTTAAGCTCGGCCTCAAGGATACAACTCTCTTTCACGTCATCGCCCCTCGAACTTCCGCATCCCATGAGGCGCCATGAGCAGCTCTGCCTCGCTCCTGCGTTCCTTGCATGAAACCTTTTCTTCCTGACTCGGTTCGTGAGTGTTCTTGACGATCTTTCTGGAGGACCTGGATCTGCTTGCGAAACAAATGCCGATGGTTGTCTGCACTTCGGGCACAAACACACGAAGAATGTATAACCGAATTTCTGCTTTAGAGGCATCGAAGAAAAGTCAGATGCAGTGGCCGTGCACGACACACTTCATGAACGTTTAACTATTTCTGCACGGTATCCCAATGATCTTCACACAGGCATTGTGCACAGTGCACATTGCAAGCACTCGTGCTCTTGGGCATCTGCCTGAGACACTGAGTCGCGGAGGTAGTGAGTGCACCTGCGGTAGCAAGACCGCCCGTTGCCAGGCCAGGCGTAAAACAGCAGAACCAGGAAGCCTGTTTGACACACACGACCACACCGTGATGGTTGCAGGTCAGGTGGCAGTCCTAAACTCCTCTCAGAGAGGACGATGCATGCAGGTTGTCATAATGTAGTTTTGCTGACTGCACAAAAGCTGCTGCGCTGCACGAAACCCTCACGTGGGGAACCCGCAGGTCGGCAAACCGGGCCTAGCGCACACCCAGAAAGTCACTGGCAAAGGTGCACAAGCACTATCGCCGAGCGGCATCGTGGCAGCCAGGGTGTTCCCGTTGTGCAGCTGGCTCCAGATCAACTGGCAACCCTGGCCGGACAGCTTCCCGCATCTTCCCGCATCCCGAATCCTACACGCTCAACCATGCAACTCTGCAGGTCTGCCGTTAAGCTGAAATGCTTTGACTACAGGTTGACGAGTTTAGCGACGGTTTGGCCCGGTCTAGCACCCGAGCACGGTCAAACTGCACAGATCTGAGCAACGAAAAGAGCAAGTCGAGCGAAGGAAACTAGTGCAACAGCGACTTCTAGCACGAGCATCTTGAAGCGTACAAGCGATGTCAGCAAGTATAGGTGAAACGGGCCTCGCAGGCATGACCAGGTCTCAGCCACTGTGTTGGTCGTGTGAAGTATCGCACCTGTGGTATGCCAAGCTGGAAAATTCAGCTTGCTAGTGGAATTCACAATGGAGGATAAACGCACGCTCCCTTGCTGACTTTTCCTATGGTGCCTCTCGGTAAACTCGTAGTTTTGGTGGCATGAGAGAAACTGTTGCCTAATTCGTTATGCTCCGGATCTGTTGCGATGCTTGATTCCACTATCGAAGCCCCCAGAGTCTAAATTACAATCGTTCTCCATCGACAGGATGACCGTAACAGATCGTAAAAGCAAAGACTGCACTGATGCTGTGCCGAGGGTGATTGTCCCGGGACCCGGACCAATGGCCTTTCTTGCGCTTTCTCCGCTTGTGCTTGATTTTTGCGGGGCATCCCGCGTCCGTTGCTTTGCTTTTTGGGTCTTGTTCTGCCCACTAATTAGCGGCAACATCGCAAACGTGAATGACATCGGCATGCCTGCACAACGTAGTGCGCTGGCTGGCCACAACTTTGACAACGCACGTCTCTCTTGAAGTCCTGCAGCACATCGCACTCCCACTGTGACGCCGTTCTGGTCAGATTGCGGCTTCCGGCAGACACAGAAAGGAAGGATTGGCATGCCTGCTCCTGCTGCGCGGCTTCTTCACGTGAGTTTGCCAAAGGAGGTACTGGTGGAAGCCTGAGTCAAGCATCAGACGCCTGAACAAATCCGCGCCCGAATTTCAGATTTGAGATGACTTAGTCGGAGAGACCTTCCCATGTTGCACTCGTGGTATCCGCACCAGCTAGCTCGGGCGAGCTAGCTATCTGGACAACCAGCCTGCGTTGCTTAACGAGCCCTCCGGGCCAGAACCTCAGGCAGTTAAAGGGCAGAAACTTAGCCAGCAACTAGGGTCACCGGTTTCCTAGCTCACGTAGATTGGTTGGCTGAGCGCCTTTCTTCGTCTGCTGACTTTCATCAGTCGGTTGGTCTTGAGCCATGTTGCTTCCTCGACGACTAGGCCGTAACAGTACACCGCCTTGTGATGCCCAGCCCCGCATGGTAGCGGGACGTGAAGCTATCCTCACTCCATCCACACCCTGCGCAATTTGCTTTCGTGATTGCGGCAGGCCTGCTGTGAGCATTGCAGATCAAGCACTGCCAGGTATGCTCCTGAGAACGCTGCACTGCCAAGAAAGTCAGACGAATAGTTCGACCAACAACTCGACCTAGTTGTTGGGCCTCTGCAGGTGCGAGGTATAGAGAAGCTGCCGTTGGAGCAAACTGGGGGTCCACCTTGCATCATGGCTCATGGCGTCGGGACGGCGAACATACTGTGCTGTCCTGTCGACTGCTACGCAGCACCTGCCGATCCAACTGGGGTGTTGGCATATGTCTCGCCGCGCTGAGCACAAGCCCTGCACAGGACGCTCAGCTGAATATATTATGGCAGCCTTGCTTGCCTCTCTGCCCTGTGCACGGCAGTTGTTGACGCTAGCATGCGGTTGGAGATCATCGAGTCGCAGACTGGCATGATGGAGGTGTCAGCGGTTGCCTTTCGATTCCCACCACATCTGCAGGAGTCATCCGAAACTTGGCAGCATCAAAGCGCTCGAAGGACACCACCTGCCACGGATCACTGAACGAAGTGTGCCAGCGGAGTGAGGACAAGCATTATCTTGAACTCAGTTCGCAGCCTTGGGTTCCGAAAAAGCTGTAGTCGATCGCACCTGCACCATGCAGTCGGCTGTCGGACGGAATCCCCAAAGACTCCGTGCATGGGTCGGCCCGTCTGCCGCCCTGCCTCAGGCCCAGGATCTTCTGGAGACCGCGGGCTGCCTGGAGCCAAGCTCTCTTCAGAACTTCAGGTGCAAAACTGCAAAACATTGCAAAACTGTAGAGTCGAGTCGTCGAGCTGTCCTGCCGCAAGACGAGAGACTTCGGCATCTGTAGTCTCTGCCTCGGGCGAAACATCATGCCTTGGTCACACCAAGACTTTCAGAGCTTAAGAAGGCTGGCAGACTCCGTATCGAGCTGTTGCACTTCTGGCTGGAGTGGAAGTCTTGGGCTGCGGCGCTTTCTCACTATCGTCATGCCGGTAGAAGCCATGCGATCTGGCCGCAATGCACAACGGGTTCCTTCCCATAGGGACTTGTGCACCCGCCGGAATACGAAGGACAACACATATCGCCCCATCGCATGTTGTTCATACGACAGCGATAGCAAAAGTACACAGATTACCCTGCAACAGACAGAAGAAAAATTACTCTTTGACACGTGATCTTTCATACATCGGACTTATCGTGTACACCCCTGGCTCAATGACTGACACAGATGATAAATTTCAGTCGAACAACACCTGCGGAAGCTGCAACTTGTTATCGTCAGACCGTCAGGCTCTACACAGGCGTAAATCTATAGTAGATCACGGTCTGCACAGTAGAGTCGTGGACCTGCCGCCCGAACCAGCAGACGGTGCCTTGCAGCATGGCAGGCAGGTGCAAGCCGCGTTGAAACGCGCAGCTACGCGCAGTTTCGAGACGTCAGCCTTCTGGAAGGCTTTAGGCACTCTCGGCTCAAGGAGGTGGCGCCACACTCACAAAGAAGTTCTGTAAGTCCGGCAGGAAAAAAAACCCTCTCTCCCACCCTTCACTAGGAAGCTGGGCTTGATGCAAGTGCTGCAGCATCCACCAAACGATCACTTTGAGATCCGCACGACTGGCTGTCGCCTGGGAGCCTGAAGGAGCGCGACAACTCATAAATACAACGCTAGTGCGTTCTCATTCATGTCGTGTAACTGTTCACTGTATAGATCTTCAGGAATTTCCGTGTATGTTCATATCCCTGGTGTGGTACTGCGCGCGCAAAGTCACTCTGCAACAGCACTCCTGGCTTGAAAGCCGACCAGCACGGCTCTTCGCGAAATCGGACCGAGTATCCCGTACGTTCGCGCGTGAGAACCAACTCTGCCGGTCCAATCCAACGAAACGCTGACGGAAATTTCCGAGCGGCCAAACGCTTACGGCACTGACGAATGCACAATGTCGAATACCGGGACATATCCAAATCCGCTTTTGTATAGGATTGTGCGATTCAACGACTGTGGAGGGCAGCTTAGGTTAAGGTTTGAGCTAGCTCTGGCTCCCCTCAGTATGCTTTCATCGGCGACAGTGCAGGGAGGGGGCGTGGTCGCGATGACTGCTTCTTGGCAAAGGGCTCCGCTCGAAAGCCATTCTGTTGCACATGACGCTTTCTGATCGAAATCGACTCTGTTCTCAGCCCGTTCTGAACACTCCAATGGGAGTGCAATGAGGTGATGGGGCCATGGCCTCTGTTTTCGCGGAGGAATCCTCCTCCAAGGACAACCTCATCCAGAGTCAGTGTGATAAACACCTCCACAAAAGACTCAACATGCCGCATCAATCAGGGAGCAAAAGCTGCCGAATGATCCCAATGGCTGCCTGCAAGACCTGGCGCATCAAGCGAATATTGGTACCCCGGCAGATACACGCCGCATTTTGTAAAGAGTTAGAAAACCACTTGGCATCACCACGCCTCTACACTCGATTGGGCACGCATGGAGAAGCCTGAAGCTGCCAAGCTAAGTCGGCCCAACTTGCAAACCTTCTAGGGCGATGCTAAGGAAGCGACCTTTCTTTTCTTGTCGTATGCCGCATGCGGATAGAACCTGGGCTGCAGTCACCATGAAGCGTGGGATACTCTGATCGGCCGCCAGGATGAAGCACAGCATGCCTTGCGAGAGCCCCGTGCCCGCAGAGCTTGCGGCGAAACTTTTTCAACAACCTGCAGACAGGAGCAGAACTCACCGTGAACATCATGCACACACAAAACGCACCCAGTCAATTTCCAGCATCTGGCCAGCATGATCCCGCCAGGTGCGCACGTGCAAACCCACCCCTGCCGAAAGCAAGCCCGCCACTCAACATCGTCATGGAACACTGCAAGAAATACGCCCAGCACCCATGGCAACCCGAAAGCAACCCTGAATTCCCACCATGAGACAATGGATACCGTCCGCCGTCCTCGCTCTGAGGTTTCCTACCCAAAAACAGATGCTCTATGCAGAGGACAACTCTGAACTTGGGGACTTGCTGTCGTAAAACGCTCGTTGTTGGTGGCGACTTCTCTGGAGCACACAACCCAATCGGAGGTGCTTACTATAAAAACTCTACACCTACAACAAGCCTCACCTTCTCATCTTCAAGCCGTACTTATTCCACACGGTGGGTCGTTTCGTCAAAGCTTAATACTACGTGTCGGCATCACTTTGCATATTCAAAGCGTCCTTATTCGGGAATTCGCCTAAGACCTGCCATCTCGCTTGCCTGCTTGGAACCACTGCTGCGATAGACTGGGTTCTCCAGTTCTCTCTGGATGGCATCTAGTGAAGCCAGCACCTGCACGTGCAGCGATACGTAAGCGGACGACGCTGCTGTGACATGCCTAAATCTGACCTCGACCATGGTGGCATGCAAAGCGGTTGAGTCCGACCTTGCAGGCAAGACTGATGCAACAAGCTTGTGATAGTGGCACATGTGAGACGAATGTGCCCGCATCATCTTTCGTTTTTGCATCTCTATGCGGTAGAACACACTAGGCAAGGTCCGAAAACAGAGTGCTGCTACAAAATGACGCTCCAACTCAGGAACTACGACTCAGGGTCCCACAACTCCAAGCAGAGAAACTCACAAGCGTTGTCGTTGCATTTCTGTCTTCCGAGTTGACAAGCATCAGATTGAAATGAGGCACGGTTTCTCAGCGAGATCCCCCCTGCATCATAATGCTCAGCAAGCACGCACCACTCCCTGGTTTCATCCACTCAGACTGGCAATCTGGCAATGTTCTGGGTTCCCTGTCCAGGTCTGTTGCCGCAACAGCGCCAGAGGCCGTGCTTGATGTCACCACTGCACCACACAGGCGCATAACCGCATAACCCAACAGAAGCATCACACTACATGCCCGCACTGTCAAGGCAAAACTCACACTCGCTCAGCACCTAATTGGTCAAAACTCAAGCTCAAGCTGCCGCAAGCTTGCACCCCGGAAGTCTCTAGTGGCGTGGGAGAACACGACAACAGGAAGCAACGACCATGGAAATTACGCCAAGTATTGGCATGTGGGTGCATCTGGCGATTCTACAGGCATAAGCCTATGGCACGAAGATTCACCTGGACGTTTCGGATGCCCCTCGAGCCATGGGACCCACAGCGGATAACGAAGCTGGAACCGGGTTTGCGTAGCCGGCCCATTACGGGGGGGTGGAACGTATGGATGGTAGCTTTGCTGGATGAAAGCCATACAAACGAGCAAAATCCCTCAGATAAGGGCGAACCCTGGACAGCATTTGCTTCAGAGACAGGGGTGGTGTTGGCTCGGGTCATGGCTGACTGTGGCACTGCAGATTTTTCAATGGAACTGCATTGATCGGATTCAAAACAAATCGCCCTCATGCAAAGCATGTTGTTCTCTGTCTTGCTCTCGCCATCTCTCTCCTTCGAGGCTCACTGATCGATGGCCGATAAACGTCCGTAATGATTGTCGCTGTCACGAGTGCAGCAATGGCCGCATGGCACAATTCGAAGGACATGTCGCCATCACGCAACACATGGATTCCTGCGCACACCTGATGGATAGCTGGACAAGACATGGCTCAGCCCTGGATCATGCAATGCTAAAACATTTAGCGTTGGCTGTGTTTGTAACAATGTATCTCTGTGCGTCCGTGTCAGCTCATCCGAAACAACTGGTCCCGAGTCCAGGGGCGTGGCTGTTCACCGACAATAGCATCGATAGCAGATTCTACAACAGCCACCTGCTCCAAGACTTGTCGAAGTAATTAGAACAGGCAAGCTCGCTTTGCAGTCAGGGCTGCACCGAAGAGTTGCGCTGCCGCCATCGTCTGCAGCAGCGCATCCGCCCCTCATCCAGTTTGATATTGCAAATTACGAGTGGGACAGGAACAAAAATCTGGTGATGGCGCGACATGACGCCGCCTGCTGCAAGCCCTCATGTAAAAACATCTTCTTCAAGTGTGATCCCTACTACTCTGACTGCTCGCAACACAACTCGTGCGTGCTTTTCCCAGTGCTCGTACAATTCGCACAATAATTGGGCATACTCGGCATGACTCGTGCTATTTGACCCATTCCCGCGCATGTAACATATGGCGCCATGGCAAACTTCAGTCATCTCCACCGCATGGCCCAACTTTAAACGGCGGATGTTTTTCCCTCCCGCCTCTATTGGGACTGCATGAGCTGGGTTCCTGCTGTACGCTGTGCACACAGCGCAGCTGCCTTCACTACGACGTTTCTACGGGCCGCGGAGTGGCAAGCAGCTGGCCCTGTTGCATCAGCCAGGTCGAGCAATGTCGAGCATACGGTCCAGCCACGGGGCCGACTGATGGCTGAGTCGCGCTGGCCACGCTGACCCGCCGCGCTTCGCATGGCTGGCGGAGCATGGCCACGGACGCGGACAGGAGCAGCTGCTGTGCACTGGCATTCCAGCGTCATCCAACCTCGCTCCCTAACATCCCTAACATCGCCAGCGTCGCACTGTAGGTGACAAGGTCCAGGGTGCGGTCGGGTGCGCCATCTACTGCTGGGGACCACCTGCCCGTCTGGACCCACGGCCTCCCGAGCCACTCGCACCCAAGCCCGCCCTGCGAGCTATCAGACCGGCGCGAGTGCATGCCAAAGCGTGGTCGCGATAAGCATCGAACCACTTCGTCTCCGCATCCGGGCGGGACGGAGACGGCAGAAGCGTGCACTCGAGAAACAAGTGCTAGCGAATACGCGAGGCAGCAATGCACAATGCTGCCATCCATGTGGTCAATCGCCTAAGGCCTGTTCGGTTGAACGAAATGGCACCCGCGCTGACTGCTTCCAAGTAGAAGTAGTGCACTCATGCCAGCCTTCCGCCTGCAACAGTTTGTGTGCCCCGGCTGCGCTCCTGAAGCTTGGCGCGTCGCGTGCCCCGGCTGCGTTCCTGAGGCTTGGCGCGTCGCCTCCGCCTGTAGCGAGCAGACGTGTGCACCCATCGGCGAAGGCTGGCGACCGAGCTCGAAGAACGAGCTGTGCATCAGCCCATGCGGCTTCATATGCCGCAGGCGCACTGCGCTTGGCGGAGGTCAAGCCAAGGCCTCAGGGCAGCCGGTAACATCGCCACGCTTTTTGCGCCTTCAACATCTGCCTGGGCGACGTCGCCAAGGCGGAGTTGCACAGTCTCCCAGATGGCATCGTTATGCGCCTGAGCATGGAAGGATATAGAAGGCCACGGCACGCGGGGGGACGGTCCGTAGCGCATGCTTCGCTCGCGGTGCGGCGCACACTGCGAGGAGGAGCCACGCACACTGCAAGTCTGTTGCATCCGGCACCCACCCGGTCACAAACTCCGGGTGCCCGACAGGGGTACCCAGCGAAATGGCGTGTATCCACGCCAAACGTCCGCCCTTAGTGCAGCTTTGCTCGGAGGGGGCGGGCTATCGCTGCAGCTGTATGCACGCATCTTCCCGTCGCAGGACGCAATGCCACATCCGGTTTGAACGACCTCAACTATTGTGTCGCGGGCGGCTCGTGCTCACTCGCGTGTAACTAGTGAAAACGTACAAGTCGTCCAGGAAGGTGGAGGGCGCAGGCCTTCCGCAGGGCTTCGTGCTGTCCCATGGGAGTAGAGCGCGGGGGCAAGTGCATTGCCTTGTTCACACCCTTCTCCTTGAGCGATGTTGCGGCACTGGCATTGGGCATCCCACCAGCAGTGAATGGGACGGTCTTCCATTGAAAAGCCGTGCGAAGGGGACGAACTCCGGTGCGGCCGGGTTCAAGGCAGTGAGGAAAGAAGCCCGAAACATGGTGTCGTAGGCACGCCGCCCGTCGAGCAAAACCAAGACACATGTGTCCTTTTTTTTTTGTGTTAAACGCGCTTCTTTTCGAACAGTGACCGCGGTCCCACTTGAATGTTTGGGGTGTTGCTTAATGGTTGCA